TCTCAGGTAACCACTGAGTCACAAGCTGTGCTTGCCCAGCTCTCCAGTGACAAACATTTCCTGTCCTCTCCTCCCCTACCCTGAGCTCCTGCCCCAGCCCCTGAAGCCCCAGTCGGCCTCTATGGGGTTTCCATAGGGCGTATTGCTCACATTGTTGCCACATAACATGTGACCTTTTGTGCCCTTCAGTATGCACAGAGTCCTTGTGGCTCTCCACACTGCAGCTGGCAGCTGTCTTTTTCCTAACCGAGTAATGTTCCGTCTTACAGGTAAACCACATCTTGCTTCTGTTTTCGCTCTGTTGAACACCATTGTTCTTTTCTCGGGCTGCTGTGGCTGCCATGAGTACAGATGTGCACCCTCTCTGCATGGATATTCTTGAATGAGAAATGCAAGACACCATGATGGGTTTAGACTCGGATCCTGATTTGTGAAAGCAGCGCTTTGTCCCCAGGGGCAGCCTGGACAGGGTTTCTATGCTAATGGGAAAATGTGGAGGGGCTTGTTCTTAGCTGTTGGCCCCGGGAAGGCAGGCTCTGAGGGAGTGGGAAATGGAGTGAAGAAGTCTGGGTAAGCACACAGTGACTCCGTGTTGGCCCGAGTGGTAGATGTCCATTGTGTGTGACGGTGTGGAGACAGTAGACAGAATCAGGCCCCAAGTGTTCCCCACACAAGGGCTGGGTCAGGCAGGAAGCTGAGGTCGGAAGGGAAGAGGGGATTTAGCATGAGATGGTCTCCACTCTCTTCCCCAGTTGACGTGAGGGCCAGGTCCCAAGGAAGCCAAATTTCTTTTGCGTTGCTGAGCCTCAGCTTGGACAAGCAGAAAAGGAGGAGCCAGGCCGTGGACCCGATGTCTGCAGGGAGATGTGGAGGTGGGGGACAGAGAGGGGGGTCCTAGCTGAGTGAAGGGCTGGGGAGAAAACTCTGTGTGGAGCCTCGGAATGCCGGCCCCTGGCTGAGTTTGCTCTGTCTTGGGGACAGTCCCAATGACAGAACAGGACACTGGAGGGCGTGGTTAGTCCCCAGGTCTCTGTGACCTGGCTTGTCCAAACTCCCATTGCTGCGTGTTTCCTTCAGATGGACAGCAGCCAGCCCGGGGGGGGGGGTCTGCAGGGGTCGCTCAGTGCAGTTGTCGGAGTGGGACCAGGCCTGGCATGGGTGTAGAACTGATATGTGTCACATGGGTGGCCCAGAGAGTGTCACAGAGGCTGCCAGACCAGACTGAGACCTGGAGAAGCCCATGTCCCTCTCCGGCGGGCACCTCCCTTCACCCAGCCTGCAGGAAGCAGGCAGCTGGCACCCTGGCACAGGACATGAGGAAGGTGAAGGTCTGGGGAAAAGAATAGGAAGCCAGTGCACGCCACCTCTCACCTAGTTGTGGCCTCTGCTGTGGGGACAGCATCCTTGTAGCCTGTGCTATGGCATTTTTAGATTTAAAGTGTGTGTGTGTGTGTGTGTGTGTGTGTGTGTGTGTATCTCTGTCTGTGAGTGTGTATGTGTGAATGTGTATCTGTGTGTGCATCTGTATGTGTGTGAGTGTGTCTCTGTGTGTGAGTGTATGTCTCTGTGTGTGCATATTAGTGTGTCTCTCTGTGTGTAAGTGTGCATGTGAGTGTGTGTACATGTGTGTCTGTGAGTGTGTATGAGTGTGTGTGTGTGAGTGTGTATGTCTGTGTGTGAGTGTGTCTCTGTGTATGTGTGAGTGTGCATGTGAGTGTGTGTCTCTGTGAGTGTGTGTGTGACAGAAAGAGAGGAGAGAGAGAGAGAGAGAGAGAGAGAGAGAGAGAGAGAGAGAGAGAGAGAGAACACAATCTTGGGAGTTGTTCTTCAGGAACCATCTACCGTGTTTTCTGAGACAGGGTCTCTGGCTCACCTGAAGTTCACTATAGGCTTGACGGGCCGGCCAGCGAGCCCCAGGGACCGGCCTGTGTCTGGTGGCCCAGTGACAGGGTCACGGGCCCCACTAATCCTGGCTTTTCCTGGGCACTGGAGGCTGGACTTGGGCCCTCGCACAGCAGACACTTTATCTAGACACATCTCCCCGGCTCACTCCCGGCTCCAGCTCCGGCTCTGGCCTCCAGCTGATGTGGCCCGGTGTCTTAGGTCCTTCCCAAGCTGCCCGGTGTCTTAGGTCCTTCCCAAGCTGCCCGGTGCCTTAGGTCCTTCCCAAGCTGCCTGGTGTCTTAGGTCCTCCCCAAGCTGCCCGGTGTCTTAGGTCCTCCCCAAGCTGCCCGGTGTCTTAGGTCCCTCCCAAGCTGCCCGGTGTCTTAGGTCCTCCCCAAGCTGCCCGGTGCCTTAGGTCCCTCCCCAAGCTGCCCGGTGCCTTAGGTCCCTCCCCAAGCTGCCTGGTGCCTTAGGTCCTTCCCAAGCTGCCTGGTGCCTTAGGTCCTTCCCCAAGCTGCCTGGAGCCTGGGCCACCTTCAAGCTTTGGTTTTCGAGTCTATGTGGCTCAAGCTGCCAGTGCCTGCTAAAACCCTTCTTGGCCTTGACTATTGAGGAAGCCCAAGTGGCCGTTGCTAGGGAAAGCCCACTTTAGAGCACAGGTGTTTCTGTGAGGCAGGAGCGTTGCTGACTTGGAATTTGTAGTGCGTAAGCCTTGCCCAAGATGCTCTGTCTCAGGTTTGTGCCGCTCCTGTCTCTAGGAGCTGCTGGGCTTAGTTCTCTCCTGGGGAAGTTCCCTGCACGCCCTGACCCAAGCTTCCACAGCACTGTGTGACCCTGAGCTGTGGTTCACTCTCCAGGGCACACTCTTCCTATCTGGAAAATGGGCACCATGTGAGGCTTTCTCAGGGCGAAGCTCTGTGGAGCACAGGCGGATGGCAGTGTCCCAGGGGAGGCGGCCTGGCCACCTCCCGCAGCTGCCCTGCAGGGTTTCCAATTTCCCTCAAGTGCCTCCCTGGCCAGGCCGGATCCCCAGCCGGAGGAAGGATGAAATGGGGGGGGGGGGCAGACCCAGACAATGTGCACATTGAGCCCATGCCAGGACCAGTCAGGTTGGGCAGATAGAGTGTTGGGGCAGGCCTGGAGGGCCTGGGGCCCGCACTGAGGGGCATCGGGTTACCCTGGTGGCTCCCGGGGGCAGTTTCCTTTCCCTAAGGATTATAATTAAGTGGGCGATCAGGGCTGGGCTGAGGTAGGGCCTGGCGTTTTTAGGCAGGAGGGGCTATGTGCTTTGCCGTCAGTCTGTCCCCGTGACAGGGACAGGAATAACAGTGACCAGCCACCGAGGACCATGCCTCCACACAGCCTGTGGGTCCCCCAGCCTGCAGCCCCATCTCACAGATAGTAAACTGAGGCTCAGAGACACTTCTGTTTTCTTGGCTGAGGTGCAAGGCGGGCAGTGTCTAGGACCACCCAGGGCTCCTCCCCCACCTCATTTTGGGCCACTGAGTTGTGGGGACAGAGTGAGGCCTCAGATGTCTGTTCCCCTATTTCCTCTTCATCAGTGAAATAGTCAGGCCACGGTCACCCTCCTCGGGGAGCATTGAGGCCTTTGGGTCATGGTGGGGGTTGGGAAAGGCCTACAAGAGTTGTCCAGGTGGGGCGGCCAGAGGTTGGCAGAGGCAGGAGGCCCCCGAGGGGCCAAAGGCCTGAGTTTGGACCACCGTCCAGGCACAGTTCCATTTCACTTTGGAGTCTGAATTTCAGCTCTGCCGGTCTTGCTGTGTGACCACACTGTGTGTCTCTGATCACAGACATGCGAGGAGAGGAAGGCCTTTGTCTGACCGACTCGCTTGAAGGCTGTGGGAGACCAGCAGTGACCTGTGTGTCTTTTCTGCACATGGGCCTTTAGCGCACACTCTCCTCCACCCAGAGTCTCAGCTAGATCTGGACCTGCACACAGTAGGTGCTTACTAAGCATGCGCTGCAACTGCTGGACTGAGTGTGTGTGTGCAGGGAAGAGCTGGAGTGAGGCCAGGAAACCCGTGGGATGAGCAGCAGAAGAACCGTCAACATCACCATCGTTCATATTCCTGGAGGGCGAGGTTAGGATGCTCTCCACTGGACACACGGGAGAGGGAAGCACAGAGAGGCCAAGCGGCTCACCTTAAGCCACACAGCAGCAAGGGGCGGGACTAGGGTCAAGTGGCCCTGAGGCCTTAACAAGGGGTCCCTCTCCAGCAGGACTGCACTGCGCACACTTTGAAGATGGAAAATGAGGCTCCCGGAGGTGAGGTATAATGGACTGCACGGGCCTGGACACAGGAAATGCTCGGGGCTGGCTGCCTTCACCCGGGCCAGGCCCCTGAACGAGGCGTAGGAGACCCCAGCTGCCTCCAGCCTGGGCCTCTGGCCCATGCCCCAGCCTCTGTTTACCCAGCCTGACACCCAGGATGCTCTTCCGCCTGCCCGGGAGTCTCAGGCCCTTCACAATAGTATCTCTGTCTACAGCTGGTTTTCATTCAAGCCCTCGGTGCTTAAAAAAAAAAAATTAAAGAAATGTAAAAAAAAAAAAAAAAAACCAAAACCCTGGCCCGCCCCCTGCTTTCCTTCCTGCTGAGGGGAGCACCCAGCTGCCGCCTCCCTTCTGCTGAGGCCCAGAGACTCCCAAGGCCTGTCCACTGCCACACAGTGTCACTCGGCATGTGGAAGGGAGACCCTCCACCCATCCCCATGATGGCTGCTCCCGGCTTGGTCCTCTAGGTCCAGGGAGGGCCGAGGACTCGGGAAGAACGCAGCTTGAGCTTTGCTTGACGCCCTACTTGGCGTTCGGCCGCCCACCAAAAATCCTCGCTGCCTCCCTTCGGGTCCTGCCGCCCCATAGAGCCCGTGGGGAACCAGAGCCTCAGAGGGGGAAGCTGTCTCGTGCCTTGGTGGGGCTGCCTCAGCCGGCACCTTGATAGGCCCCTGGGAGGCCCGGGCTGGGGTGCTGGGGGATCCCAGAGGGAAGTGGGAACATGGGTGGGGCCAGACCCTGGAGCGGAGCCAGGCGGGAACAATGGGCCCCTGTGATGGTGGTGGTGGTGGCCTGGGTGGGGCCCCTGTGAACTGGGCAACGGGAGAGGTGTCAGGCAGGCTGGGAGTCTTCAGCCTCCTCCAGCTTCGGTGGGGACTCCGTGCTGCCCTCCTCCCAACTGGCAAGCGACGGACTCAAGTAGGGGACAGAGCCAGCCTCGGCTAGGCCTGGGGTTTCTGTGTGCCATGGGCCCCAACACCAGGTCACGCCCAGTGCCCAGGCCTTTCTGCTTCCCACAAGTAGTTGGAAGTGGGACTGACTGGCAGGAGCATGGAGGCCTCAGCACGTGCCCCATGGGAACAAGGAATTCTGGGAAATGAGGCCTTCGGGTGGTGAGCTGTCCGTAGAGTTATAGAAGCAGAGGGGAAGGGACTCGGGGGACCACAGAGGTCATGTGGAGACAGTGTTCACCTGGGTGGGCAAGTTGGATCTGAGTGGTCTCCTGGCCTGTAAAGCCCATACTTCCTTGAGTGTGGAGCTGGCAGTGGGAGCTGGGGAGCGGGTGGGCCTGCCCTGAGCAGTCCAGGGTTAGGAGTTCGCCTGGCACAGCACAGGCACTCAGTGAGCAAGCGCACCTTCTTGGAGCAGAAAGAGCAGCGTGGGGGTTAGAGTTGGCTGCTGGCACAGGTTCTGAGCCGGGAGGCTTTGATCCCTGGGGACCCTTCCTGTCCTGCTCTCTCCATTTTTTCCTCTCAGGCTTCTCTGCTTTGTTTCCTGTCTCGTCTTCAATGACTGAAAAGCAAAGCCAGTTCAGTCTCAGAGGCAGGCATCTGGTGTGCCTAGGGCTGGAATCTCGTCACTTTTCCTCATGGATCCCAGTGGCTGCTGTGGCACCAGCTGCCTCTTCCAAATCACTACATCCTAACCAGGCAGGGTCTCATCTTTTATTGATTGTGACTATTTCATAGGCATATCAGCAGCACAGCCCCGGCCCTGTCTCCCCCTCCCCCAATGTGTCCTGGTGACCTGGGCTTGCTTGCCCATCTCTCTGGTCTCCTCAGTGAATAAGGCTGTGGAGTAACCCCTCCCTGAGCCTGTCTCCTGGCCACTGGGTCTCCTCTCTCAACCCCACCGCCTTTAAGCTTCTCAAATAACCTCCCCCCTGCTGAGACGGGCCCAATCCAGGGTGTTCAGGCCCATGAGGTCTTCTAAGCCCTTGTAGGGGGCCAGGGTATGTCAGCCTGCCTGTTGGCGCCTGAGGAAGACCCTCAACCCAATCAGGGACACAGTTGTTTTTTTCCTTGACTCAAAAAGTAGCACTCAGCCCATTAATGCCATGGCCTCCACCCCGGAGCCACCCAGCCACCCCTTCCCCAAGCCCACACCCACAGTGCCCACAAATCCCTCTGGCTCTGTCTTCCTGGGTTATGGAAATCCCCTACAGTTCCCCCACGCTGGCTGCCTCACCTGGTTGGCCTTCAAGGCTCGTCTCTCCCAGGCCAGCCTGCAGCTGGTCTCCCGGCCTCCTTCCTTTCCGTCCATGGCTCACCCTCTCAGTCCCAGGGCTCTTCATCGGTCCAGGCTGGTCCTCTCACCATCGGGCTCCGGTCCTGCCATGGCTCCCACCTTCCCTGGGGAGAAGCTGTCCCAGGAAGGGCCCTGGGCCCTGCCTCCTACCTCATCCTCAGACTCATCATTTCCTGGACCCCCCCCCCCTGCCCCTGGCCTCTGCCCCTGCTGTGGGTCTGCTTAGAAGATGTTTTCTGGATCCTCCCATGACCCTCACATGCATGTGCGCCGAGGTCACCCTGAAACAGCCCCGTCATGCTCTATGCCCACCCTGGTCTGTTTCCCCGACGCCCCTGCCTCCTGTATGCATGGTACCTGTTCTCCCAAGTCCGTATCCTCAGACTGAACCAGCTGCTGTGGGACTGTGTGGAAACGAAGTGGCCAGTGCTGACATCTGAGGACACGCTCCTTGTCACTGTCCAGTACCACGCGGTGTAGTTCCACACAGCACTGACACTGAGCCAGACAGCAGAAATCACCTATCGGGGAATTAAAGGGCTCGACAAAGCCCGGCGTGGTGGTGCATTCCTATAATTCTAGCAGTGAGAGGATGAGACAGGAGGATGGTCATGAGTTTGAGGCCAGCCTGTGCCTACCTAGAGAGACACTGTCTCAAAAACAAAAAACAAAACCCAAACCATGGAGAGGCCTCCTTAGCAGGCTCTACACACACCCTGCACACCGGCCTGGCATGCGGGGCCTGAGGATGGAGGTGTTGGGTCCTGCCAGCTCCCGTCTCAGCCCGCCCCGACGGAGCTCCTGCAGGGATCTGAGTATCACTTTGTGCCAGAACGCAAGTGTGTGGGTCAGGGGACCAGCGCACTGTCTGAGGGTGGTGGAGTGTCCCGTGTGGTTAGAGGAGAGTCCTGAATCTGCCAAACAGCACCTGGAACCTTCCAGATACCCCTGACTGGAGCCCTCTTTCTGTCCCCATCCAGGCAGGGTGGGCTGAGAGGGGCGGGAGGAGACATTTGGGGGCCATGACTGAATGATAGAGGTGGCCTTTTAGGGGCAGGGCACCCACCAGAGTGGCAGGGCTGTGGGGAGGGGGGTGAGGTGACTTGTGCATCCTGTTCCTTCTCTTCATTCATTCATTCATTCATTCATTCATTCACTCACTCAGCCAGCATTCATGAAACACCTAATCGGCTCAGCTGACGATTCCTGCCCCTCGGGGTGTCAGTTCAGGATGACAGGTGAACAGCTATGAGGGAGGAGGCCAGGAAGGGGCTGAGCTGAGAGCAGAGAGGTGAACAGAGCTGGATGAATGGGAAAGCGGGAACAAGGGGCCTCGGCATCACAAGGGCCCTGTGGTGGACACAGGCAGAGGAAGAGCAGCTAGAAGGTCCTGTGGCTGCAGCTTCCCCAGACAGACCCTAGGTAGCCCCGCCCTCCCCCTGCTCTGGGTACAGGACATGAGGACAAGCAGCTTTTGCTTCCCTTTTGGGACAGTCCCATGGCTGTGGTTAAACGGAAGCAGGGCCTCTATTCATCCCCACCCTGCCCATTCCCAGCCCAGACTCTTCCTGGCTGACCATTGTCTCCTTCCCTTTTTCTCTGGGTGGGAGGAAATGGGTGGTGCCCTGGGAAGATCCCAGACTCAGTTTCTCCATCTGACAAGGTTGGCCAACTTTTTCATACATATTATAATATATATATATTTAATTGCACCTGTGTCTGGTCAAATTTGAATTGGTCTGGCACAGTTGTGTCTGGAACTCAGCCAATCTCGTCTATCCTGTGAGATCCTGTCTCAAAATAAAACAATAGAATAAAATGAATTGTGTCTGGCCAGGTGTGGTGGCACGGGCCTGTCATCTCAACACTAGAAAGACTGAGGCAGGAAAATCATGAGTTTGAAGCCAGTCAGGTTGAGACCTATTGTAAACAACTAAACCAAAGTCCCACAAGAAGGCTCCGTGGATGAAAGGTGCCTGCCACCAAGCCTCGGGACCTGAGTTCAATCCCTGGGTCCCACATAGTAGGAGGAGAGAACCAACTCTTGCAAGTTGTCCTCTGAGCTCCACATGTCTGCTGTGGCATGCACAGTGTCCTCCACCAAATAAATAAAAGTGTAATTTAAAAGACAAAAAACAAAAACAACAAAAAACCCAAAACCAAACAGAAGCTTTGTGTGTGTGTCAACTTTCCCTGCTGTTCCTCCCTCCCCAGAAGGCACAGCGTTTGTTATTTACCTGGTACCCTGAGTGGAACATCGTAAGTCCCCTCCCTCAGGGGTGGCTTGGGGAACACCGAGTCACAGTTTCTAAGTACTGTCGTTCCATAAACCACCTGAACACCATGCTCTGCTGTCTGTGCTGGGCCCACAACACGCCATGATCACCTCAGACATGAGTCCACCCCACAGTGACTTCCTGGAGGGTCGTGGGGCAGGGGATGGTAGAGGGACCAGCAAGGGTACAGTGCAGAGAGCCGGTGGACGTGTAAGG